TCATTATAAAGGTACACTGATTTCATCTCAGACCTCAGAAATTGCACTGTATACATTCAAAAAAATTAACATGATTTGGCTGATAAGAAGAAAAATTATAGACTACGGATGGGCACATCTAATACGTCCAAGGCAATCACCACATAAATAAACACATAAATTCATGTAGCTGAAACATTCTGTACCTGCAGCTACAGCCCCTGTGTACTGGTAGAATTGATATGTACTGGTAGGATTACTGTGACCACACAACACTGTCGGCCCACACACTGATTAAAACCTGTGATGCCACAGCACATTGTTTTGAAGCAGTTGCACAAGAAGCTGCCAAAAAAGCTTTTTAATTCTATGGTGACTTACTTCATTCCATCAGTCTTGTGTCCAAAGAGCACCCCTCTCTCTACTTATATTGATATAATTATATTTTTTAAAGTACACTTGTCATTGCATATTGTGTATTTACTAAACAAGAATACTTTCAATCCAATGCAAAGGCAGGGATTGCTCAATGACATAGTGACAGCTACAGTATCAGGCCACCCTGCTATCGATAATCTCACGATGCTTAACAACGCAAACCTAAAGTCGTATCCCCCACACACATTCATAAGAGTGGCCTTGAAGTTACTGTGAAAAGAAAATTGTTGAGAAAATATTTGTAACAAAATACATCGTCATAATCCTGGCTGCTAGCCATGAAACACCACGTACAGTATATAATAAAATTTTACAAACTAAATCCCAACAAGTAGCAACAACATTCAACATTCAGCACAGAAACAACTAACCTCATATTACTACAAATGCTAATAAATAAACTTACAATCAACAATTGGCTCCAGTTTAGGATTTGCATTTTTCTTCTGAATGACCACCCATCCTTTTTTTTTAAACAAAGTTAGTACATTCTTTAAGATATTGCAAAGCTATTTACAACTTAATACAAGCAAATTACAGTTTCTTTCTTAATTTACATACATTCACAAAAAACACTTCAGTTGTCTGGCTTCAAGTTGTTGAAAGTGATGACTCAGTTTAGAAACTTAAAAAAGCATGAGATGCACCACTTCCATATCAGTCAGCTTGGAGTCACCCATATTCAGTGCTTGGGTCTAGGAGATGTTATTGTTAAAACGGGAAACTAGGCTACGCTGCAGCCAATGCAAGAGGTGACACGGTCATTCATCCACATGCTGGTTAGGTGACTTTGAATGGAATTTGCAAAACAAATGGACCCAGATCAGACTCGGCTGGTTCTTGGTGCAACAGACAGACACTTCCCTTCCATTGCCCAGTATCCTTCTATGGAGACATGGAGAAAAATGTATCATCCAAGACAATAGGGTATCCATTTTCACATCCATCCAATCTGTCCCGGCTAAGTCACAAGAATTCCTGTCAAAGGTCAACTTAGCTACTTTGAGGTTTATGTAGGTTGTTGCCATCTTGGTTCTGCTTATTAAGAGGATCCAGTGCCGTCTGGGTGTTCTTATGATCGTCTACAGAGCAGTTGGACACTGCGTTAGCCACAATGCAGAACTTGCGGAGAAGAATCTCCCGGAGGAGCAGATAGACCCACGGGTCCAGGATCTGGTTGAGGGAGGCCAAGCGGATCGTTGTCAGAAAAAAGTTACAGTCAAAATGGACATCCCGACCAGAGCTGTGATTGGAAGTCCCCGCTGTTGAATTGCACTCGTGGGAGGACACCTGGGTGGAGATCATCCTTAGCATCAGAACCTGAGGGGGGAGGCAGACACAAGCTGTTCGTACCAACAGAGGCATGCCAAACATCTGTATTATGAACTTATGACTATTAATTGATACATTCACTGAAAGAAAGTTTATTTTTTGTTCTTTGGTAAGAAAGCCTTTCAGAGGTCTATGTTATATTACATGCACTCTTGCTGGCTCAGAGATAATAGTTTTAGATTTTGTGGGCAGTCTTTTACATTCAATATTCAATGTGGCTGACACTGAACCCAAGACAAATCCTGAGCAGCTACCATATCATACTAGGGGAAAAACGCTAATGTTCACACTCCAGGTACTCCTTCTAATGTTCTACCACTGCTACAACAGTGCTGTCGTACAGGGATTCTATTAATATCCTTGGAGGGGCTATGAAACTGACAATGCATGACCTCATGGCACACTGAGCAGACCCCCCAAACAGGACTCGGCTAAGTAGATTGCTCCCTAATGGAAAATGGCAACAGCGTTTTCAAAGGAATCACAGCATGTGATTTGCAAGTGCGGTTTATGTTTGTTTGTTTTGCTTCCTTTCGCTGTCCTGCCAACAGGAGACAGAGCATCTCCAGAGATACAAAGATCTGCAGTTTGTGACAGGCAGCTGACAATAAAACCAATTTAAGATACCTAATTAAATTGTGAATTATAGCACTGGCCACTTTATCATATTAGTATTTGGCTTTCATTGTTTAACACTATCAGGAAAAAATCCTTATGCATTATTAGAAAAGTATTTATATTATATCTTCAGTTTCCTTGGGTCATAGGGAACTTATGGTTGTATGCTGTAAGAAATGTGTAGGTTGCAGTCGCCTGTAAAAACATACCAGTAGAGGAGACCAGCATATAAGCAGGACGCACATAATCCCTAACAGCTGAATGACGGTCTCCGTGGTGAGCCGTTCCCACTGCTTTGAAGACTGGGACGTGCCAGACTTTGTTTTACAACGGATAATTAAGCCCCGGATCGTCACTACATTGCAGGAAAGTGTTACAAGGAGAGAGAAAATCCCAAGCGTGGCGAAAGTGATAGCGAAAAACATATTGCCACGGACTTCTCTGTCCCCCGTGCTGATGAAGCACCAGGTGCCCGGCCACTGGCGTGTGTATTTCCCGACCCCTGCAATGGGCAACAGCGCAAAGAGGAACACAAGACACCATATGGCAGCCAAAGTCTGCTTTGTCACACTTGTCTTCATGTGATTGGAGTACCAGTGCGGGTTTGTTATCGCCATAGCCCTTTCAATTGCCATGGCGCTGGCCAAGAAGAGAGCGCACAGGCCAAAAGTTGTCATGCACACCCCGAAAAAAGCGCACAAACTGCCAGAAGAGTCGATACGATTCCACCTCAGATCAGCTCGGTAAACTGATATTACTATTGGACTTGTCAAAAGCTGTCCAAACAGGTCAGTAAGCGCCAGCGATCCGATGCAAAGCAAGAAAGATCTTTTCCTTTTATTCTCTTTCTTTCTGTAAGAGATATACACCAGGATGAGAGCTAAAGTGTTGCCCACCATACCAGTGATCATCATGGTTATAGGGTAACCAACAGACACAGATCCACAACTGGAATTCTTGGTGACATTGCCCTCGCGCAATGACTTGGAGACGTTGGGGCGCATCATCTCTCTAAAAGTGGTGTGCAAGTCCTCTAAAGAATCACAATCGTCCGCAGTCATGCTTTAAAAAGGATAAGCCTTTATGCAGTAGAAATCCCACGCCTGTTCCTGGCATCCTCTTGCGCTCCAACTCAATGCAGTGCGTAAAAGCGCGTCGGGTCCTTTACGCGCTGGAGGCGGGACTACCTAGAAAAGCGCCCAGAGGAAGCAGCTGAGGATGCGTGAGGCTTTACTTACACTTATCATAAACCGGATTTTTGGAAATCTTGTTGGATGTCTGCGTTATGGCGATTTTTGTTCATTAACTTTCTATTTACAAGTAGAGGTAACAGCACTTGTAGCGCTATCGCAGGCGCACCTCCTTCGGGCCCTCACCAGTCAAGATGCTGGATATTATCATCACATCACGGTGAAGTGAGCACACGGACAGACTCATGTCATGAGATGAGGGAATTAACAAACCTGCTCTGCGTCTCTTAAGTGGAGAAAGCAATAAAACATTGTCCTTGACCTTTTGAAAGCAGAGCTGTGGTATAGGACTCTGACAAGATTAAACGTGGGATGTAGGTATTACATTGTTACCTGCGGTTGGTTATCTCTGGGAAATGTTAGGCGTCATTTCACATACAAATATCTCAACCAATTTATATGTGGCGCATTTTCGACAAGGATTAGTGTGGATTGATATGTATTTTTTATGGGCATACAGTTCAAAGGCCTACTTTGAAAAACGACCAAGTTATGTAAATATGAAATATCTACATACTATTAACGTGTAGTTCTTCCTTTCAGAGAAATCAGCACCTGCATGGCGCGATGATGCAAACCTCTCTACATTTGAACAAAAACTTAAAGCAATTAATTTACCAAGTTTGAATGCAGTCCGTGACACTTTGTATCAGACCCTGAAAGTAACAAGTATTGGGGACAATATTAATGTATCTACCTTCTGGCCTGATGAACTTTCTCCTATAAGCACACCGACGTACTCAGCGCTCCATCTGTTAAACTCTGCATAACCACAGCAGCAACAAGTGCCCCCTGTTGACCACAGTGAACACACACAGCGTCAAGCATGGGCCCCTTCCCATGTTCACTATTCACCTACTCTTCTTTTAAGGTATTATCTAGCCATTTACAATTAGGTCGAGATTATCCACACTAATTTAAATTCAATAGTCAGTTAAATTGTTGTCTACTGTATCTCTGGTGAAGCAAGATAATTTCTGAGAAATTACAGCTGTTAAACCTTAAATCAACACAATACCTTACTAGCCAATTTAAAGTCTATAGCAATGATCATATTTCATTTATAAGTAGTTAACACAATATTTTAAGTTCAAATGAACTGGCCTTATCACTGGAAAACAGTAACCCTAACACTGAAAGTACACTGCTCTCACTCTTTCCTGGCATATTAGCTATCTCACTTCAAATAACTACGTGATAACTGCTTAGGTCCTCAAAACAATTTATCTCAAATATAGCGATACAGAGAGTAATTACACATATCTTTCAGATTTAGCAAACATTAATGCATGCTGAATGTACCACGTCTGTCAATACTACCTAGCCTTACCTTGGTCAAGTCTCTTTCTCACACACACACACACACACCAAAGCAACAAAAAACAATGTCAACAGGATTTTATTTACACGTGTACATTAGACTTATTTTACCAATAAAGACTGTACTGCCACATTCTACCATAAACCGGGACACACTGTATGATGTTTATTCTTGATGCATTATTCTGAAGCAAGAAAATCTGTAATTTCTTGAATTTATTAGTTTCCCAAGTGACAAATGAAGATGAAGTGTAAGTGGTACAATAGGCGTCAATTGTGTAAAGAAAAAAACACTTAAATCTAACCCAATGATTGTTAAACTTACTGCCATTTAATTAACACGAGCAATATAAAAAAAGTAAAATACTTACCTTGAAAATACAAAACAAAATATATATTAATCAAGAAAATAAAACGGGCCAAAATTCATTGCTCTGGGATTCCTAATTGGTGCTTAAGTACCTTTTATTTAAAAATTAATGTATTTGTTTAAAAAAAAAAACATTAAATGTTTCCTAGGGCCAAAAAAAGTATTCAAAAATGTTAACTTCAATTTCTCCAGTCGAGTAGAATAAAATGTACTGCCACGAAAATATTCAGCAGAATGGGATTAAAATAGGATACTTCATAGCCTCTTCACATAACCTGATATAGGACTGAACATATTAGACACCTGTAGTTACACTTGCCACGCTTGGGGTGTATGTGCTTTTAAGAAGGGAGCATGTAATGATAACGTAAGGTAGCAGCAGACAGAAGTCATGTTGCCGCTGTCTTTTTGGAGGGAAATAAGACTTTCTATGAAAATGAACAGCATACTGAAGGATGTAGTTGTTTTCTTTGCAACACAACATGCACTTGTACTTAGGCTTCTTTTCTTGTTGTGAAGGCTGTGATTAAGTTATTTCTTTTTTGAACTGGAGCCAGAATGGGAGGATCCAGAGGACTGGCCGCGGCATCTGGAATCACACAAACACCACGGGAAGAAGAAGGAGGTCAGCAGGCTCGGCTATTAACATTCAGTTATGCATACTTGAAAGAAGTACAAGGTCACAACGTATAAAAGAACAATGTAACAAGGCAAAATGTGAATGTATTTCTGTAAATCTGAATTCCCATAAGCGAGGTGACAGACGGCTAATAATAGTTGCCATTGTGGTATTCCACAGAAACCCAAACCTTTCGGACGAATGTGATCTAGAACGCCTCCGCTTTCTCTCTCCAGATGAGGACCTGGAGCGACTGCGCTTCTGTCCCCTCTCAGGCGAGGAGGAGGGTGAGCGGGACCTCTTCCGGGGAGAGGAGCCCTTTCCAGACCTGGAACTGGATCTTTTGGGAGGAATAAACCAAGCACTGAGGTCAGTAAGGTCAAGACAGAGTCTCACCAGCGTGGGTACTTATCAAGCTTCTCTGATTAAGAGCACTTAACTATGGATTAATGGTACTGAGAACATTTTACCCAAGCCGCTTTAAGGTTCGCGTATTAAAGTGTCCTCGGAATGGTTTAACACCTAGAAAATCTTTAAATATACTGACACTGACTGAGTGAGCAAAGCCAGCACCACTCCTGAGATGCTTGATGAAGACCCCAGATGTCTATTCAGACATTTGAGCCTTGATAAAATTAATTCAGGTAGTCAAATTGTGGACTTGGTATACTCTCAGGCCCAATTGAAACTTGAAATAACCCTACATCAAGTGACTGAGACCTGTTATAACCCTTTGAGTTTGCCTAAAGATTTCAGATCAAAATTATTTTCTGCAGATTGAGAAGAAGGTCTGTAGCAGATGATTCTTTGTTTAAACTTAGGCTAGGAAACAGGACTGTTCTGGAGCTTTTGGCCCCATACATACACTCTCTAAGGGAGAGAGTGCATGTCACCTCATTCACCTGGAGTGGGACCTGGAGCGAGATCCAGATCTGGAACTGGATGAGCTTCTAGAGCGGGACCTGAAAGACAAAAAAAAAACAGAACCTTTCCAATATTTTCGGAACATGAAAATTAGCTAGTTTGTTCACATGGCAAGGCAGAGACATGATGTGAATTTAAATCCTATGAAATACTTAAAGAAAGCTCTTCTTGCCTTACTGTATAGCGTAACTGACGAGCGTCTATTCAGACTAACAAAATATGTATGTGGGGGTTTGGAGAAATACTCCCGAAACTACAAAGACAAATAAAAGTTGTTTGTAACGACTTTGTCAGAATGGAGTAGGTGAATTAACAGATAAGTGCAAAAAGACTAATATGAACAATACATTTCTTCCATCTGAAGTCAAAATTAAAACACAAAAGATATTATAAAGACAGATCATTGCACATGGGGTTTCTAACACCACAGAAGGGGGGAGGAGTTCGGAAAAGAGAAAACAAATCAGCAGAACAGGACATGTAATCGATGTTGATCAGTAAATCAGAAGGAAGATTGAGCTGATACTGACATTTTGCCCGGAGTTACCCTTGACCTGTACCCTTTTACCTGGACCTCGACCGTGAACTGGAGCTGGAGGAGCGCGAGGATGAACGGGAACGGGATGAACCCGACCGGCTGCCCCTTTTCTTAGCTGGCTTGTCGTCGTCATCATCGTCACCACCACTGGCGTCCAGGTCGTACTTTGAAAGGTCTCCATCTTCGTCGTCGTCGTCATCCTGGAGAGGAAGTGTTTTTTTTTTTTTTATGTGACATTGTCATTATCAGCTCTTATAATAATATATGTTCTTTTAAATTTCTAGCTCCAGCCACCAATCTTACATCCAATTTGTATTTGGAAAGGTCACCATCTTCCTCCTCCTCATCTTCCTCCTCCTCCTCCTCCTCCTCCTCCTCCTCTTCAGGTTGAGGTGGAGCTTTTGTTACTTCTTTCTTTTCACTTTCTTTTGAGGAAGACGTACTGGTGGTCTTGCGATACTTTTTCTTTTTCCTACCAAACTGTGACATTAAAAATACATATTCCTTATAAGTAAAAATGACCTCTTGCAATGCAAATTTTGTCAAGCCAGCCAAACACTTGTATTCTGTGACTTACAGTAGGACAGCTGAAATACTTCGATTATTAAACATTACACTTTCTGGTAGGACTCACTTCATCATATTCACCGTCAGATTCCTCCCTTTCAATGTATTCCACATTCTCCCGTTCATTGAAACCTCCACCGTAACCTGAAAGACCACAAGATGCAGGGAAAAAGCAATCAATAACCAGTTTTCAAAAGTACACCAAAAACTGTCAAATTAAATATTTGTTGGGATACCTGTTCTCTCTTCGAGCTTGGCATATTTCGGTGTGTTACACATGTTGCACTCTGACCTCCTAGCCCAATTCACATTGCCGCATCTGCATGACAACAAGAGGGAAGAAAACATCTTTAAAATGTGTATGGTTCATTAAATATTTTGGTACTCCCTTATAATTTACAATAAACACTTACGTTTTGCATTGCCAATCATTTGCGCTGAAGAGGCCTCTACTCTTCTCAGCCAGAGTTTTCCCAATCTCTGTTCCTCCTGCTTTCATCATCTTCGCCTCTGTAGTTTTTTCTGTGGATGTAAAACAATGGATTTAAGTACAGCAGTTTTTTGAAAGGATGTATGAAATTCTGTAAGATATACTAATTTGCATGGAGAAGGACTCACCCCTGCCACATCTGTTACAACTAGTTCGTCTAGCAAAGTTGACGTTTCCGCACCTGCAAAAGCATAAGAAAAACCCACGCACATTTTAGATCCAGGAAAGGCTTGAGCTTTATACTTCACCATTCAGGCATAAGCCGAATGTACTACAAGCCAGATGAGTAATGTAGGCTTATTTATTTTTCATGTGCCACCCCATTGGCTTGCTGTCCCCCGTTGGACAGCCCGTGTCAAAGGCCTGTGCACTAACAACTGGCAGCTGGCTTGTCCGTCACTCCGGCGTTTTAAATGCAGTTCACTTGCAACATGATATCGCCCACTACCCAACTTAGACTCTACATTCATGGCAACTTGGCTTCTACAACACTGTAAACACCTCCTACAATAGTGCGTATACAGTCTATGGTTGGAACTCTCGCCTCATCCCAGTGAAGCTAACTATAGCTAGCTTGCTATCTGGAAGTCTGCGCACACCGACAACTTATATGGAGACTCAATGACACGTTAAACCAAAACGTGTCTCCACCCTTATATGCACAATAAATATGTCGCGTTTATGCTGCTTACAGTGTGGTACTGATGTAGAAACAAGTTAAAGGTTAGTTAGTTTACTTAGCTAACGTTAGTCAATGTTAGCGGGAACCACATCCTAGAAGGCCTATGCTAACTGTTAGCAAGACCAGCAAATTGAGCAAACGTCTGCTGCAACATTTACTGAGCTACTGCGTAAAATTTGAGTTTATTCTGAGTGTGAGATGCACTTACTTTTTATCGGGACAAATCCAGTCCCCGTCGCTGACTCGAAAACTCTTTCCCGACATTTTTGTGCCTGTTAGCACTGGCTGGCTCTGTGGCAGGGTGTGCTCTGTGTGTTCAGGCAGCAAGAGTTGGCTCCGCGCCTCCTTCTCGCCGTGGTGCTGCCTTCAGGTGCTTTTCGGTAGCTCTCTAAACACTCCTTTCCCCGCTCGTATTGCGGAAATAAATACGCATTGTAACATGTTCTGTGCACAGTGAATATGGGACACCATAGTGCCAGGTAGGTGTTGGGACACCAACACATTGTGCAGAAGTGTACGAATACATACAGCATTTTATTCTGTACATAACCTTGGTAAAACAACTCTACACACTACGGCCACCCTTTGCCTTTTCTAAATGCCACAAATTGACAATTCGGATATATATTAAAACTTCACTTTACCACAAGTTATTTCCCAAATTATTGACACAATAATATTAATTTTAACGCTGACGTTTGTAATTTCAGAAAACACATAAATGCAACATTGACAAAGGACTAACCTGTTTTGAGAACCGTGGGACCATGCAAATAAAGCATTATCATCACAAGATAATACTTTCCTAAAAATGACACAGTAGCCTAAACATGTAAGTACGTAGAAATACTTGAGTAATATACAGACAGTACAATGTGGCTATAAACATGCTATTGAATACCAGACACACTACATCCCTTTAGGTAGGCCTATAGCCTATTTTATTTGGGATAATCCCTCTCAGTAAAATAGGCCTACGTGAAAAGCAGACTTGTTATTTAAATAGAGAGGCTTCATATATAGAGGGGCAAACTGTTAATATTGGGTTTAAAAAAGTGAAAGTCAGCATTCATTTGTTGATTTACAATGTTAATCACTTACCTGTGAATACAAAGAGACAAGAAGAGATTGAGGCATGTGACAATCATTTAGCACATCACTAATCTGATCTAAGTTATGAATAATGTCAACTCAAATTTCTCCAAATTTAGAAATTTGAAATCCTTATCTTTCCTGTTCTGTTTTATTGCAAAGCCAGTACTAGCCACTAGATGGCAGTTAATGTCAACGTTTCAACATTGCACGTGTCTATAAACCCACCTGCTTTGTTTAGGTCTGTGTCCCTAGCTCATAGGTTGCCAGTGATTTTGCTTTTTCATCTAGATTCGGCCTATGTGAGGTTCTGGGTTGAAACAAAGTTACTAGTGTGTGTGTACTTACATGTACTTCTCTGAATTCCATATACAAACGTATCTAATGACCTATATACCATTGCAGTCTTTTGACTTATCACGACCTAAAGCAGGAGTAAATACGATTACATTTGGATTCAAATTTGGAGTTTTTGCAGAAAATCTCTTCTTTTACTGTCAATGTCACAAATAAACACTTAAGAGATCATTACTGGATCTTTATAATATGCATACACTGTCAGGCTTTTAGTACAGTTGTTTCAGTGTAATATGTGAGTTATGTTGCCTAAGTGATTGTGGTTGGGTGTGCAAAAACCAAACGTACACACAAAAAATGGTCAAACTCAAATGTGGATTCTTACGTCTTTGATAGTGTGTTGCAGGTGATAGTAAATTTTTTATGGATATCAAAGCCCTGTAACAGTTAGTGGCATAGGTGTTTCTAAATTGAAGAGTTGGTGAAGTACCCACTCTTTGGAAGTGTCTGCCAGTGGCATAGATATTACTACAAATTCAGTAAAGCACTGATCTGTCATGGACTAGCTTTAAATGGAGAACAGGAAAAAAGTCATCTCATGGTTTTCCAGTGATCTGTGCTGAAATAAAATGAGTAGATAGAGATGGAGTTTCAATTTATGTACAGTAAGATATAAATCTATGTATTCTCTTCTGGATGAAGATGTTGCTGAAAACTTCATATTCATTGATGTGACATTCACATATGAACCATTGTCATTTGTGCTATGTATATATATATATATATATATATATATATATATAAGCCCTAATCATCAGAAGTTTATCACCCTTTGCTCTTCAAGCACAAATTCTAACATCATTAGATAAAAAATATTTTTGCAGCACAAACCCAAAAACATTTTTGCATGAACGGGGTCAGTCACGCAAAGTTTCACAATTTCTTGAGAGATCATTTTACTGCTCTAATATCAGTAGTTAAGATGCAGGATGTAGCTCACCATATGGTGTTGAGATGTAAATGCAATTAATGAGGATGAAGGAAAGGCTTTAAGTTGCAAATGTGCAGTTATTTCTCATGTCATAATCCTCAACAAAAGCTGTAATGTAAGTTCACACCAGAGTTTAGGCTGCTCTAGAGTCGTCCTTGTACCCAATCTGCTATTGGTCAAAGTCGAAGACCCTTGGAGGTCAGTGTCACAGTTGGTCCATGGCCCTGAGGCCACACTAGTAGCCATTTCATTGTTTCAACTCGGGTCTATTACTTTCTTTTCTTTGTCCCCCTGTTCCTTTTGTCTATTTTTGACAGGGTTGAAATTACATTGTTGAGGCATGTCCCTTAGGTCTTGGGCAGGATGGGTTTATATAACTGAGTACACTTGAGATTAACTGAACAAGATTTTTTAATCATACACTGTTTTAATCATCATGTATCTGTGAGGGAGACATTCACTTGATTTATGAGCCCCACACAAGGTTTATTAGGACTAGGGGCCAGCAAAAATAAGGTATCAGAGGTGAGAGAGGCACATTTCATGATTCAGCCTCCTTCTGTTAAAGGAAATGACTCCTGGATCTTCATCAGTATACTTCATAATACCATTCACTGAGGCCAGAAGTCTGATATAGCATGAAATCAACAGCCTCTACACACACAAAGATTGTTATTTGTTCGTGATGACGCATCCTCTCTGTTACCGAGTTTTCTTTACTTCATAATTTTTCATATAATTTTCTTCTCAACGATAGCACAGGAGTCCCCTCTACTCACGTTTCAGCTGAGGGCGTTCTACAAGCTTTCAGCATTGCACAGAAAAGAACGAGGCGAGATATGAAGCAAATGAAGCCATGAATAACTAATAAGGAGACACTGAAAATGCTGTGGTATGTTTGTTTGCGGCACAGAGTTGCATGAAAGATTTAGCGAGGAGTCGGCAATTAAATAGCACTTAGGTAAACATTGTCTAATTACATTAAAGTGGCTTCATTGGCAGAAAATGCATTCTTAACTTTGCTGTGTCTTTTTCGGGCCAATGTCCAGCCCACCATCTGATTATGTCCTGGTCAATAACACTACTAAGGGAGATTCTTCATGGGTGTCAATGAGGCTTTGGCTAGGCTGACACCGTTTTCTAGTCCAATGGCTGGTTACAGCTGAAGGTTCATGCACAGCAGAGTCTCTGACAGGGAAAGGCAGCCATGTATGTAGGTTTGGAAAACCTGCAAGCCACCAGGGCTTTCCAGTACTGACAGATGGCAGGGAGCTCTTCCCGAGAAAAAGGGTAGGGTGGGGATGAAGAGTTGGAGGCTGGTTGGCGCACTCCACCAGACGCTTTTATCTCAATATCATGATTCATCGTTATTCGGAGGCGGGTTACATGTATTTCCCATGTGCCAAACAAAAGCCAACTGTGGAGCTGTTTGTTAACTGGATGTAATGTGATTCCACGAGGCATGTGTTTGTTTCTGCACATTTGTCAGAGGACAGTCTAACACATCCAAAGAGGTGGCCCCTGTGTTCACACTTTAGCTGTGGTAGGTGAACTAGAAGGTGCCAGCGAACCTCATCAGAATTATATAACGCAGACTACTGCACAGTGAAACAGCTCGTGCTGGGAGATGTGCCGCTGCATTGTGCCGTATCTCCTGTCCTCTCATCCGGTCCTTATCACTAAAGCACACATTCATTTTGGGAGCCAGGGAGCATGCATTTTACAATCCAGTCTCACTTCTTGTAAAGGCAATCTACAAAGCATGATATCATGTGTTCAATTTAAAGGTAATAAATTTGCTGATTGTAGTAATAAAAATGTAAGCGGCAAGAGGCTCCACTAGATTGTCGGTTTTGATTGTTTAAGTGCATTAAAGCATTCATCTAACGGTGCTGATAGTTTAAAGCTGCTCATATTGATATACTTTTTTACTAAACTAATTACTTCCAACTTAACTATAGATAATACCTTTGATCTGAAGTTCTCTAAAGATTCCCCGGGAAGAAGAACTATTCGAGAATCATGTTCATTTAACAGAAGCATGTTTTGAGCAGAGAAAACCATAATACTTTGAGCCTGCAGGTGATCTTGAGCATTCCTTGCTGACACGGTCAATGTCTCAAGTCCAGCAGATCTTGACAGATGAGATAATTGGAGGAGCGATGTTGGCACAAAGTCTGAGACCGGACAGTGTTCTTCAAATGGAATCAGAGAATCTCACAGATAAAGTGTTTGCAGGGTTAGAGGTGATCCCACTTGATGATTCCCGTGTGTCTGTACAAAACGCAATATATAAAGCCCCTGCTTCCATTAAGGCAAGGCCAGCAGGACGCTCTCCAATGCCATTTCTCAAATGGTTTTGTCAGGTCTGTTGTGCAGACTCTTGTTTAATTGCTGCACATCACTTTTGGGGACCTCTTGAAAAGGAAAGAAATCAATGTCCCTCCTGCTCCAAACCCAGGCAGAGTAAAGTGAGTGTCTCTTAGCCAAAACCCCTTTGTATCTCTGTGTGACTAAATGAGCTGGGAAATCTAAAAAATAAAATAAAAAATGCTGAAATCAACAGAATACTAGCTCAGTCATGAAGTATCATTCAGTGCTTGTATTAAACCTTAATTGAGTTTAATTTAGAGATATTGTAAAATGCATGTTCTTTTGGTGCCAACGCTGTTTACATTAATTTGATAATAATGCTTCAGAATGAATCAGCCTTTAATCAATTATGAAACATTACTTATGAAACCATCTTCACAGTTAAGATTAAATTTGATAATATTTTAATGTCCACAAAAACAGATGATGCAGAGGAGGGAAAATTAAAATAAGATAGGTAGAGTGAGGGGAAATTGACAGATGGACAGAGAAAAGGGAAGAAGAGAGGGTTCACAGTAAACAATACTCCCGACTGTAATTAAGTGACCTGACTTCAATTAGAAACATTATGCAGAAAATTGTTTTTGTGGTTTGACGCACTCAACCGT